CCCTGGACCCGGTCCCTGCTGGCCCGTGCATTAATCTGCCTATGATGAAAATGACTATACAAGGTCCAGTGCATCAGAGAAGTTGGCCTACTGCATTGTAAATCACTTTAAAAATCAAATTAGCATTGCTAAAATGCTTTGTTTGATGTGTGCTCCAAAACAGGAGATTAATGATATGAACAGCATTTGGGGCCATGATCCAGATTTTTGGGCTGTGCTGCTTGAGGATTAATGTCCTAATAAATCACCCAGGAGCTTGTTGAATGGGAACTAAGTGCTACTTGTTCTCTGTGTTGCAAGTATGACAATATATACTAGGTCATGAGCTGTGCAAGTCTAAAATGTGCTTTTAGTTATAGCTAGGGACCTACTGAAATAAGCTGCCCCTTGATTTCATGGTCTGAGCATGGTGGCCTTCTCCATGCCCCTGCCTGGAGATTGACAGATGGCCATCTATTAATCTCTGGAGAGGGGTGGGACTTCCAAGCCAGATGGCTATCTGTCAATCTCTATGGAGGGGTGGAAATTCCAGGGCCTCTTGCCCCTTGGCCAATCAGAGGCATGGGGGGGGGGCTGCTACACTCCACTGCAAAATGTCCTTCCCTCCACCCCTCTGTGTTTCAGGTCACCAGGTCTTCCTGCCATTTTTTGTTTGCTGCTCTTTTTTTTCTTTTTTCCCCACTACTTGCTGGCCATTTTCACACTTTTTCATGGTCCCTGCGCTTTTTCGTGGGGACTGGGCTTTTTTGTGGGGGACCTACCAATTTCACAGTTTTTGCAAAAATTATGAAATCACAGTTTTGGTAGGTCCCTAGTTATAGTCCTTAGCCATAAGTGATATTCCGTCTCGGCAGATGCTCTCAGAGGCCACATACAGTGTTTTCTACAATACAAGGGGGCAGGAGCCAGACAGTGAATTTTTTTTCTGGGTGGGTTTAATGTATTTGCATTTCTCCTCCTCCTCTTACCCAAATTTATGCTTCACAGGCTGGGTGCATCTACACAAGACACTTAATGAGCAGAAGACTAATTCTATTGTGAATTAGCAGTAGAATTAGTCATTATAGCTACTAAACATAATGTGCCGTAATTATGGTGCATTAATGCATGTGTAGACACACCCAGGGTGGCCTACATTAGAACAAATCTCAAAGGAGTGTCTATAGCTATTACAAATATGTTAAGTAACTTGATTTAACTGGCACTCGATTAACACAAAGACTAAAAATATCTGGTGAACAGAGGCTGCTTAAAAGACTGAATGTTACTGGTAGCAAAGCACCAAGAAAGAACCAAACAAATACTTACTGGAGTGTAGGTTGAAACTTCCTTAGCCTGATGAAGGGTTTTTGAACCCGAAAGCTTGCTTAGTAATTATTTTCCGTCTATTTAAGTTGGTCTAATAAAAGATATCAGATTCACGCAAAGAACCTTGTCTGCCTAAACAAATACTTAGGCACCTAAACCCAAGACTGACACTGAAAGTCCCCACTCAGCTCCCACATAACCATGGAGCAACGTAAACTCCTTAGGCAGACAAGTTGCTTTGGGTAGGTGTGATATTTTTTATTAGACCAACTAAATATTGGACTAAATATTTAGTTGGTCTAATAAAAAATATCACACCTACCCAAAGAACCTTGTTTGCCTATGTCCTTAGACCAACATGGCTACAACCAACAACCCTAAAGTGTAAGTGTCCTTATATTTTTACTTTAAAGGTCCTCAGATGTGTAGAGTTGCCTCTCTGTCCAATCCTACAACTGCCCCAGTCTGGACAGGAGTGAGCAGCTTTGTGCCTAGCTCACACCTAAAGCTTTATTGAGATTGACCCATAGGTGATGTATTCCTTTGCCTAAATCCCCTGAGTGGTGCTGAGTGATATTTTAAAAACTTGCATAACATGCAATCAGATTCCTCACAAAATACAGTAGTAGCTACCATTTTCTTTTAAAACACAAGAAGAGACCCTACCCTTGTTATAAAAGGCTATTTGTTAGAGCACTCACTTATAAAGTAGAGAGATCTACATTTAACACCCTCTTTTACCCAAGGTGGGTCAAGATTTGTGCGGGGTTTCATATTGGGAGACAAGCGTTTGAGCATCAGTCATCCTTCATCAGGTCTGGGAAAGAGCAATCACAGATCAGGCTAAGTACAAGTCAGAGCTGGTGTTTTAGTTTACTGTAATCATCTTAACATTTCTTTCAAGTGATAAAATTCATTACCAACAGTGGAGGAGAGATAAGTTAGCAGAGAAGAGATGAAGTCTGTGAACCATTAAAAAATGTCTTAAATCCATAGATTTTGGACTCAATTAGTTATAAATTTCTGTTCCCAAAACTGTCTTCTGTAGGTATTATACAGGTTTCTTTTTGAGGGCAAGGACTGTAAAGTAAGAGACTGTAAGAAACACTTCTGTAGAAACTGTTCTCCCATTGGTGATATAGTATTTCTATCCTTTATCATTTTTTCCTGTGGGAGTTCATTCTGAAGCATAGTGGTTGGTTGTTTCATATGTGCCAGTTTGCTTCTACTAAGGAATTTGGTGAGGTTAGAGGTTGACTGAAAGCTGGGCTGGGTTGTTTAGGAAAATGTCTTGCACCATGTGGTATTTTTTGGTATAGATTGTAAATGTTTAATGATCTTTATTATAGGTTCCAGTGTGGAATGGCATGTAACAACAATCAAGGGTGTGCAGTCTGTAACAGGGAGAGGGGAAGGAGGAATGCAGTTCTTTTTGCAATGTAAGTTTGTATAATATATGTGGGTGGCCCATATGAATGTATGGTCTATTTTTCTGATGGAGCATCCCTGTTGGGCAAACACGGTTTTTAGACTGAAATCAGTATTCTCCTCACAGAAGATATGGTGGTATCTGGGGTCTGACTATACAGCACAGATTTTGTGGTGCGTTTGGGGTGGCTGCTGGTTTTGTGTAGCAGCCTCCTGAAGTTTGTGTATGGCTGTTTGTAGGTTGCCATTATTTCAGTGTTTCAGGCAGGTTGTAGTGTCTTCATGGTGGAGGATGTTGTTTTTTGGGCTGATGATGTCCAGGGGGACAAGGATGATGTCTTTTGGGAGGTGGCTTATGTTGTGGTTTTTACTGAGGAAGTCTATTGTCTTGGAGAAAACTTGCTCTTTCAATGAGAAGCAGTTAGAGGATGGCTTCAAAACCCCTGGTAATTCCTCCATCAGTGAATTGTGTTGGGATATGGTTAGGGTAACCATATGTCCTGGATTGGCCAGGACAGTCTCAGATTTCAGGGGCTGTCTCAGTGTCCCAGCCATTGGAAAATATTGAGGCAAAAGACCCAGATTGGTGGAAAAAAGCCCACATGTATCCAGCTCCTGAGTCAGGAGCCAGGCATGTGCATGCAGGTTCAGGCTAATCTGGGAATTTTGCTTCAGTTTTCTCCAGGTTGCCCAGCCAATGGGCTGCTCCTTGCTCCAGACTTTGCTGGGCTGCAACCAGAGTTGCTTGCCCAGTAGAGTAGGGGTAGGGGAGAGAGGAGCCACAGGGTCCTTGCTTGGGCCCATTCCTGGGAGCTGTGGTCCCGGGGCTGTGTGCATATCCCCTGCCAGGCCCCACTTGTGGGAGCTTCAGGGTGGGGTGTGTGTATGTGTGTGCTGTCCTGCCTGCCCCAGCACCCTGGCCCTTCCCCTTACCTGCCCCATCCCAAATTTCCCTCAAATTATTATGGTCACCCTAGTTATGATAGGTCTGTCAGGACTTCCTTACATCTTTGGGAGCATGTACAGTATTCCTGGGGGAGAATGGGGAATTAGTTTGTTTAAATTCCAGTGAAAATGAGGGGTTGGTATAGGCTTTCTTTTTTTACTTTGGTAAGCTGGTGCAGTTTATTTGCATTTCTCCTATAAAGCTGTGGTCTTTTATTTTCTTGTGGAGTGTCCTTGTTAGGTCTGAGCTGTATTGCAAGTATTCTCCCCAGAGTAGCTATGGAGATATCTAAGGATTTGCCTATCCCTTGCAACCTTCTTGGTGCTTTTGGGATGGTTACACTACCACACCTCCACAAAACAAGTATCTCCTACTTTCTAGGAAAAAAGTGGACTCTCCATCCCTCTTGTCTGAAGTTGTCCCACTATACAAAACTGAATTCAAGATTTTTTGGCTACTATGGATTGGTCTTGATGGTGCACTGAGAGGGTTTAAGTAGGTATCCTGGGATGCTGTTTGGGGAGCATGCTATGGCCACAGGTGTATTTCTGGAGTGGCTTCTTTCCTCAGGTATATCTGGTGTTTCAAGTAGAGAGGGTGCCTTTAAGCAGGAAGATCCCTGGCAGTTTGCTTGTTTGCAAACTATAGATATTAGCAGGTGGCTGGACAGTAGACTGTATAGCCTATTTCTAGTGAAAACTGAAAGTAGGGCAACTCCCTCTTTATAGACATTTATTTGGTTGAACCAGGATGTTTTGGTGTAGTATAAGTCAACTGAGAATACATTTTAACTGCTCTGATCTTTAAATTTGAGTGTCCACACAAGGGGTTACTGCTGGTTATATAGTAAATTGGCTTAAAAATCTGAAATTATATCAATGTAACTTTCTCATGCAAAGAAGACCTAAGTGTCTGCAGAATCAGACCCTTGCATTGTTAGTCACAGTCATGGGGAATATACCTATTTCATGTTAAAATTAGCCTAGCACAGATGTAGGACATAGAAAGATGTAGGACAAGAGTTTTGCTTTTAGAAAATTGTTTTAAAAACTGGTTGTTCTAGAAAGGTGTCTCTATCCCCCCACATCTCTCTCTTTTTTTTAAATCTCAGCATAGACAACTATGCATAACTAAGATATAATTTAGGTAACAACCATGTTATATTTTATGCTGCCAGTAGTTGTATATAACTATTAACTTTTCAAACTGGGGTTGATGGTAAAGGAACAGGCCAAAACACTAAACCCAATATTACTTTTGTAATTAACTGTGTGTTTAGTAAAGAATTCATAAATCAATTCAAAACACAAACAACAGCTTGACTTTCAAATGGTTTCAATTTTTGGAATAATTAAGGAGTAGTAAACAGATAATGAGCTGACTCGGTGGCATCAGAAAAGTTCATACAGGAAATGCCAATATTAATATAAACAATAGTCAAAGGTATAAAACTAGATATTGTATTCTAAATTTTCAGTCAGACATTTAGTCATTAGCCGCAAGTATAAAATAGGAAAACTTGGTGCATGACTATTATGAAGCCATGTTTTGTCAACTTCTTAAAACCTATTTTAAAAAAAAACCTCACCCTCTTCCATAAATCTTAGCTATACATATGCTAAAATTTAAGAAATCCAGTCAGATTTTAACATTCAGACACTGTAATGCATAATCCATACTGCCAGAAGCATAAAGCAAGTCTGAAGTGTCTGATGTTTGAGAGGTTTAGCACCAAAAGGGAAGTCATCTGAGCTATGCTTGTGGAAACTTGGTGCAAGATAACATTGCCTGATGCCTGTGTTTTCACTGTCTTACTATTGTGTGGATCAACCTTTTTACTATTGTATCAGTTAAGGCCTATTCTGTCTGGTACATGGTACCCTTAAGGTCCTTTGACTGCAGTAAGAGTTAACAGTATTCAGCCCTTCAAAAGGAGAAGGCACTATTTCCTAGGACCCTAGTACAGCATTGATGCATCTCAAAACCCTCATGCAATTTGAGGTTACCTCTGGAAATCTGACCCTTAAAATACCTTTACCTTTAAATGAAAGGAACTGATTTTTTAAAAGAACTACCTGTGTAGTTTGTGCCCAGAAAGAAGTGCTTGTGGTTTTAAGCACACTTTTCACATCAGGTTTTCCTCAGATTACCACTTGCCACGGATAAAACTTAACAAATTTGCTTTGTAGAAAATTATGATCTAAATTCTTGCCTCTGGATACTGAGTATGAAAATATTGCATCTTGCATATATCCATATAATAGGACCAGATCCTCAGGCGATAGAAACTCAGTGCTGCTCCATTGGCTTCTGTTCTCATCAGCTGAGGACCCAGTTCATAGGATACAAATGATCTTCCAGTGAGTTGTGAGTCAAACTTTGTAATAATATCAGCCATTAAAACATGGAAAATAATTAACATCTCAATATTGCACACTGAAATTTCAAATATAGTGTTATAGTTCTAAAAAAATGATTTAACAGGATTGGTGCTATGGCTAACATACACCAGATTCAGGCTAAGCAACACATGCATCTCCACAGATTCACTGGAGTTGCATCTACTTACACAAAGCCCCAAATTGGCTCCAGCTGGTTAAAATGATATTTTTATCAGATACTTATTCATGTCAAGTTAAGGGCCTGACCCTACTACTTATGTACATGAAAATGCATTTTAAAACTCCTAATGAAGCTAACTGGAGTTCTTTTTTTATAGGAAGACCAGACTGAGACCCAATTAAATCAGTATGACAGGAACTATTGCACATATCCACCCATTCTTTAAAAAAATATATACACGCACACAATGATCTAAGGAAACTCCCCCTTCAGGTTCTGATCCTTTTACAAGGCACAACGTGGTTATCAGCGTAGAAGCCATTTTCCTGTCTGCAGGCATTTCCATTGATATGGTTGATGCTTTCACCAAGACAGTCTGACTGGAGATTCCCCTCATTAGTCTGAAACAAATAATATTTCAATGAATACAATTCCTATCAACTGTTAATCAGGACTTTGACTTTATGATTAGAAAATGCTGTGTCAGACTCTCTTCTTATAATATAGATTATCTCTGCTTAATGGAATGGAGTTACTCCAATTTTGTACAGATATATTTGAGGAGATTTAGGTTCTGCATATGGTACTCTACAACAGTCATTACCATAGGATCTCTGCACATGGGAAGTTACATTATGGCTCCCAGGCAATTCTAAAAACCCTTGGAAAATGCACTCAGTATAGGCTCTGCAAGCCAGTAATATGCATGTTTTAAGTGCATTATGTCTAACACTATATGATTTGTCAAAGGTCAGTTATGATGATTGGTCATTCAATGGAAGGCATTGAATGGAAGCATAATCACTGCATCATTTTTGCATGTTTATATTGAGAGATATAAGAAAGGCAATTTATCAGTTGGTGAAATTAAAAATCTAGTATTAGTAAAGTTCTTGACTTGTGCATTGACTCAGCAATACACAATATCCAAATACTGACTTGCCTTATTTGTACAAATCTGACTATGTTACGCATGTCAAGTCAAGCTGACAGTTTCTATTGCACAATTCTTCAGAAGTGTGCACTTAAAAAGTCTTATCAGATTGCACTGATGTAACTGAGATCAGAATGTCCTCTAGTATTAGAGAACAGAGAAAAAGCTCTTAAATAATTTTGTACCCATTTCAGTAGCATCACACCGGTTTATTTTACTTTAAGAGAAGCAAGCAAACAAAAATTACATACTTTTCTTTTACACTGCACATTTGTAGATATCTTGTTTCCAGTTGCCTCTTCCATTTCTAAAGAAAAAAATACCACGAAAAGTAATATGTTCACATTTTCATTGTCTAAGTAGTCATAAATAGCTCATTGTTAGATTTTTTTAAAACATGTCAATTATCAGTTGACATATTTACTACAGAGACAGATAATAAATTTCATTGAAGAATGATTTAACCCTTCCTAGCAAGTCTTCAGAAAATACAGTCAGTGTATCATGATTATTAGCCTGCAGTGACGAACTATCCTGTACAGATCTAAACTCTGGTCAGCTCATAGAATTACCTTTAAAAAGACAGAATTCTCAATTAAATATTTTTAAAACTGGCATAGTTTCACTGTACCACATTCTCTTCTCTGATAATCACTCAGTGGAGGTAAGGACTGCAGAGTGCAATGATGCTTTTCTGTGTCCTCCGTTCTGGAGTCATTCTGTACTGGTCCAGTCCTCACATATGACAGGTAGCCTGAAGGCTTGCAGTTGTACATGAAGTCATAATCCAACTAATCACATTTAAACCTGAGCACTGAAAAACTAAGTCAAGCATGGGTACCTGTGAGTAGTGCATCAATTTGGTCCACTGCAAACTTTGCATCTTCCCGAGTGAAACTCATTGGTGGTTTAAATTTCAGAATGTTTCTGTGGGGTCCATCTGCACTAAGGAGGATGTGCCGTTCTTTTAGTCTGTTTAAAAAAAGAGAGAGTGATGAATGTACAAGAATGCAAGTTATTGCAAGCTTAAAATGTATATATCAGGCAAGTCAGATCAATACAGATGTACTATATACTATAAGCAGGTTCAATTACACTGAAGTCCATGGAAGCACTGAAGTCATCTCCACTTACACTTGATTGGGGTTTGGGCACCTGAGCTCTCTAATGCTATATTCAAGAGTACATTTATTTCAGCTTAGAGCTTTATATATATATATATATATCTACTACGGAACAATTTAAAGTCTTCCATTACTGCACATTAAAAAAGAGGTTTGTAAATGGTTAGATTCAGATCACTACAGTATACTTTGAGGATGGACTCAAGAAATATTTACTTATAGACAAGATGAAGGGCCTCTGCTGTGGCTGGTGTCCTTTTCTGTTCATCCTTCACAAGATCTACTCCAACAAACAAACCAACACCCCTAGGATGAAAGAGAAGAAAGAAAAGTAATATCTACTGTCCAATAATCAAGCCCTTCTCTTGCCCACATAGTCAATACTGAAGATCATAAGACGTGAAAACTTAGGGAGGGTCTTTTGGTTTTTCACTCACTGGAACTGTTGGAAAAACCAACTGACTATTTCAGACCAAGGCACATAGCGTGACAATTTCTGTAGAAATTAATTTAGATAGCTTGATCAAGTTGCTTTGTAACTTGAGAGCTAGAAAAAAAGCTTCCTCCTCCTGATCCTGCAGGTCTAAAATCACAAAGCTATACGGAATAAACTAGCCAGAAAAGAATTCTGCTTGTGTAAATTTGAGGTTTCCAAATTTTCATTCCATTGAAGAAAGAATTTTTTAACATGATAAACACATGATGTCCTCACTCTGTAATGGCCCATAGTTGGGTCAGGCCATTCATCTGGTATAGCAAACACCTGCATTCAAGTTCCACCTCTGAATCAGGTATCATTGTAGTGAGTGCCTTTTAGCTATTCAACCTGTACATGAGGATCTTTGTCCTCCTTATCAAAATTGCATCTTGGACTTGAGAAACCCTTCTAGGAACATCTTTCAGACTAACGCTACACCACTGATGAACTGGAATTTTTGCTGAAAAATGTTTTGGCTGAGGGAAAAAAAAGCCCCCAAACCAATTATTTCAGCCGGAAGGCCACTTAATAAATTTTGAGGATCTGCTGTGGGCTATATTCATCTCTCTCTCTGTCTCTCTTCTCTCCTGTCCCTCCCTCCCTTCCTCCAGAACCAGCCAGAGCTGTAGTTCATTATGAGTCCTGAAGCTCAGCTGCAGACACAGATGAGGATTTCTGCTGTGGCAGGAAGTAGCGGCATCAGTTGTGGATACAACCAGCAGGGTCTGGATTCTCAATGCCCTGCCTGGGTCCATAGCTGATGCCATCAAATTACAGGCTGATCCTGCTGGGCAGCAGCAGTCCCTCCCACCTGCCCAGCACCATGTGGCGGCTGGAAGTGCCAGCCGCTCAAAGGCCAGATCCAATGAGTTGGCAGCTGTCCACCTGTGGGCTAGACAGAATCTGTTGTCAGGATGGATCTGGCCTGCGGGCCATATTTTGCCCACTCCTGTAGTAAGGGATCTGTTTCCTTGGATAAACAAGTGAAAACAGAGTACGTTCACCATTTATACCTTCTTCATTTTTGTTCTCAATTTCTTATTTACTGGGCTAGCATAATAACTCTTTCTCTGATCAGTATTCTGTCAGGGATACATTTTCATTGTTCCCAAGGTACTTACCGGATATCTCCCACTAAATGATGTTTTCTCTTTTGTTCATTCAGCAGCTCTATTAGGTAATTTCCTACTTGTGTGGCATTCCCTTGAAGATCTTCTTTTTCAATTACATCCAGTACAGCCAAGCCAATAGCGCAAGACACTGGATTGCCTCCAAACTGAAAGCAAAGGCAAATGGGGAAAACAGAGTGAAAAAAACACTGATGCACCTTCTACGTCAGTGGGTTCACTACCACTCTCCAAGCAGTGAGAAAAGCCAAAAGAAATGGAGGCTTTGGGAAAACCTACTTAGTCCCTGCTTTGTTACACAGGAAGACAATGGGACCCAGAACCCTCTTCTCTCAACCATGCAGGTACAAACAAGATTTCTGTCCTCAATTATATCGGGTTGTATTCATTTAGGATCACAGGGATCAGCCTACTGTGTTGAACCTGAGATCCATCTAGTCCTACTACAGGCAGTGCCTAGTACCAGATGTTTCAGAAACTAATGCAATAAATCATGCAACAGGTAGCAATAGGTTAATCTTTGTCCTCTTTGGAGGTTTTGTACTTATCCTTATTAATACATTGGTTTGGAACATAATGTTTTTATTCTCTTTCCTTCTTTAAACATTAACTATTGCAAATTTGGATAATTTGTATTTGGTCCTGCTTTGCAAAGCTCCTGATTGTATGTACAATTCAGCCATATGGTACAAACTCAATTTAAGTAATGGAACTTCACAACTGTTACCGATATGACTCGATCACAATGGGAAGCATGGCAGAGTGACTGAATTGGCACAAAGACTCACACCTGAACAAACACTGAATTTCTGACAGCTGCACACTTCAAACGGTTCCTGATGCAGAATCATTCCTTGGTTGTAGTTGATAAAAAATGAAGAGCCACTTTAGAATCTGAGTTTAATAGGACTTTTAGCACTTCTGAAAACCTGGCCACTTGATTTTAGGTATCAGAGGGGGAAGATATCTTCTAAATATCTGGCCTTCACAGTTCCTAGCACTATCAATCCAACCCTCTTTTATAAGCACTAAGTCAGGGTGGCCAACCTGCAGCACACATGCCACAAGTGGCAAAGGCAGCTTCTGTGTGTGGCACATGACAGATCAGGGATGGGATAGGCAACAAAGTACCAGATGAGACAGGAAGCAGAAAGCAGAGCAGATCAGGCAGGGGAAGGAGGGCAGAGTGGAACCTGGGGAGGGTGGGGAACTAGTTTGTGGTGTGACTGCTAAACAGGTTAACCCCCACTGCACTAAGTACAGACTGAAATACTGTAAGAGAAAAAAAGGAAAGATTTCAGCTGGAAACTTACTGTATTGAAATACTCTAACCCCGAGGCACCAAAGGCTTCCGCAATCTCTCTTGTTGTAACGACACAAGACATTGGATGGCCATTGCCAATTGGCTTTCCCATGGTGACAATATCAGGTACAAAGTCTTCCCCTTGTAGCTGGAAAGCCCAAAAATGTTTCCCAACTCGACCAAAACCAACCTGGACTTCATCAGCTATGAATACACCACCTGCCTCATGCACATATCTGAAAACAAAAGGAATGGTACAAATGTTACAGCATGCAATGAGTCTCCAGTATCCAGTCACAGGATGAGAAAGAATATATTACAGAAATTTATTTTTAGACTTAAGATCTGCCCTATCAAGCAGATAATTCAGACTTTAAAATATTATTCACAAACACTTTTCATGGCCAATGTTTGAACTGAAGTCAATAGTTTGCTTTTTCTATGATGATACAGAGATCAAGTATAGTTGTTCTTACATTATTAATATTAAAAAACATATCCCTCTAAGAGACATAAGTTTTATTAGTGTTTAGAAAGTAGGACAAAAAAGAACAAAACTAAGGGTAAATTTCTATTTCCCTTTGTGTGCAAAAAGGCACCATTTTAGCCAGGTAAGTGCCAAAAATGTCACTTAAGCAGAGGCAGTGATTCTATTACCCCTGCAGTGTGGATGCATAAGTGTGCAGTATAGATTGAGCATTTACATAAAGCTATGCACTTGCTGGGTATATACACATGACCATTGTGGACATGTTCATGTGTCTAAGCCCAGAAAGGGGACAGATCCAGAAACCTATGACAAGCAGTGTCACTTGGGAGGGGGGCACAGCCAAGTTTTGGCCTTAATAGTAGAGAGGTTAAGACACTCACCCAGGAAACTGGAGTCTCAGGGTGGTGGTCAGGGAGAGGGACGTGTTGAATCTACATCTCTGATTTCCCCAGAAAAGTGCTCTAATCACCATGACTCAAGTCAGGCATAATCCAGCCCCCTCTACTCCTCTCCCACCCCAGTGCTTTTTCTGAAGTTGGGTTCCTGGACAGGCAAAAGAAGGGCTGTATGTGGGGCCAGGAGAAGAGAATACAGCAGAGAACTGTCTGACTCAGCAAGATGGCTGGTGCCCCGCAAAGGAGCAGGCTCTAGTCTGGAGCCTTGCTTCCACTGAGGTGGAAACTTACCCACTGTGTTGTTCTCTGCCCCTTTTATCCAATGGTTATTATGCACAAGGGCGAGTGACTCCACTTCAAAAAGAGTGCAGGAGAGGCCCTTGGATGATATTTTATTGGTAGGATTAGAGTAGTAATCAGGGAAGTCAGAGAAATACAGGTTCAAATCCTCTTTGGGCAAGGGGGTGGGAATATAACCCGGATCTCTGGCAAGTGTCCTAGCCACTGGGGTTAAAACATGGGAGGGCCTTTCCCTCCGGTCCTTTCTCCAAATGACCCTGGTTACTTTCTCATCCAGGCCTATTCCAAATCATGTACGTACTCTGCCACTTGCTGGAAGTAGCCTGCAGGTGGAATTACTTGGCCTCCACAACTCTGCATCGATTCAGCAATAAAGGCAGCAATCTATACAAAAGAAGTACAGGTAAGAGCAGTATTCCTTTATCTAGCCTTCACAAATAAACTAACAGTTATAGAAAGAAATGTTTAAAAACATGGCTTGCTTTAATAAAAATATTGGGGTGGAAAGCTGGGTACTCCTGTCAATGGCTATGGGAAAAGATTTCCATCAGGGGTGCCCAAATTTGCTGTATCAAGTGCCATACCAGCAACCTATCAGGGATGCAAAGGCCATACCCAAGGCTTAATAAGCAACCACTGATACCAGTGGAAAGGCTACTACTAGTGTCAACAGGAGGTGAAATAGATACTTGATGTGCTTGTAAGTTCACATGCACAGTTCAGTAAAAATATTATACTGGCATTTGCCATTGCCCCAACAGATAATCAGAAATTGCTTAGTGACAAGGCTCACCATCAGTATAAGCCTATGGTGATCAGCTTTGTTCTCACTGTAGTCACAGGGAGAAAGCAGGCATGTGACGTCTGCATTTTAGGCCATTCCTGAAGCTAAGCTTTGGGCACCCCTGCCTCAGGCAAATGACTGAGCAAGCTGTATACAAGGGTGTGTCGCTTCACAATACAAAAAAAAGATATATACTCTATAAGTGAAGTAATTCCAGTTGCTAGGAATGAAAAAAGAAAGTTATTCCAAGTCAGGAAGGGCAACAGCAGCTGATCGGATCACTGGAATATTAAGGTTACATTTCTTGTTTATGTATCTATTCAGCACAGATACAGTTTTACCCCAAATCTTCTGGGAGTGTCAGCATAAGCCTGCTATTTAACAGATTGGTTCCCACACACAAGGATTGCTTGTGCAACCCTCCCTGAACCTCAACAGGTCCATCTCAGCTGAACAGTGCAGTCTTCCTGGAAACAAGGTCGAGCAGTAAAGAAGCGTACACTACATTCGAAGAGGCACACTACAGCCAAACAGTACGAGGCTTCCCAAAGCATGTGAGACTTTAGCCTTTACCACAACTTGTCCTGCCACAGGTCTATGTCACCAAAACCTAAGAAGATAGGCAAAAGGAGGGAAAAAAGGAAGAAAAGAAAAAACTATGTATTAGTAAAATAAAAGAAAAAGTTGTTGTAGAATCTAAAAGGCAGGTGATCTAATCCTTTGGACTTAATGGGATTTTTTGATCCAATAGCTACTGAAGTCTTCCTTTTGACTTCAGCAGACTTTAGATCAAACCCTAAATGTCTCTGAAAATTAGATTTGTTGCCCGAAACACCTTTATAAATATGGGTTTTAAATAAAAAGCTTTACAGATGTTCCTTATCAGTTATCACCAGCTTGTGCCTGACTTAAAGCAACAAGGTTTGAAGTATTATAAGTGCATCTCAAGGAGCAAGAGTACAATAGAAAATTTAGAAACACGATTACCTCTTATTTTTCTAGGTGTAAGTTTGTCTGTTTTTCAGTCTATCATCATAACCTCTCAAACATGATTGGAAAGTGTGACTATATTACAAGTATTTACAGAAGACAAACTCTTACAGAAGACAAACTCTTACACTTATATTTAACTCTTTTATATTTACATTTTTAATTTATTAAACTACTTTGGATCAATTTGCTTGTTTATGAGTCTTATGTCCTCTTGATTCTTGCATGCATTTTTCATTGAGGCTAACATGAGTCCTGAAAATATTCAAGGGGAAAATGGAACCATTTGAATGTAAAACTTATGACAGAAGAATGGAGTGAAAGAGAGGAAATCTTAGTGTATAGGTCAGTTTCATCTCCTTTTCCCCATTCCCATTCTGCCTACAACATGCTGTGTTTCAGTATTCATCCAGCTAGACACAAACCTTGCGCCCATTCTTCTGAGTTTCTTCTATAATCTTTTTCACCTCCCCAGCATAAGCACCGGCTGGATCCAGATGATCTTCTCTGTATTTGCCTCTGTAGGTATCTGGTGAAGGCGCCTAAAAGTATCAAGAGGATTTATTTCAAATCCATGATGCCTTGAAATACTCTCTTCTATTGGACAGTTCCCAGTACTTTTTAGAAGAGATGTAATTGTATAAAAATATCACAAGCCGTAGTTCCATCTGTTGTTTAGCTTTACTATGCCTGCTTCTTTCTCAGAGACCTGAGGAAGGGTACTGGGATATCTAGAAGTTTGTTTAAATCTATCCCAACCGTGCAGCTAATCCAATAAAAAATACCACCCACAAAACACTCTTGTCTCTCGTATGTCCATATATCATATGAAGTTCAGATTAATGCAACAAATCAGACATATTTTACACAAACTTAAAAGGACTGAGAGCTTCTGCCTGGCCATGAATGACATATCTGATATCATGGAGCACAGTTTTTCAAAGTGTCTTCCATCCCATTTTCTATTTGACTCATCAGGCACAAGCATTGCTGATTTTCCCATCCACGAGCTTAGCTGACTTGTACACTTGCAGACGGTGAGAAACATGAATATTCCTTTCTGCCACTGGAAATCTGTGCTCTACCACTTGACTTCCTATTTCATGAGAAAAGGTGGAGTTGCTTACCTACAAACTGGTGGGGTGTGTTTCAGTAGCTTTATGGGAACGAGGGAAAGAAGAACAGGAATAGCAGATGGGGGAGACTGGCTTGGGGAACATTGGCAACATGGAGGGAAAATGTTATACTGCCCAAGTGATGGAAAAGAAAAAAAAACACTTTGGGCTGGACCTATCTTTTTGTCTCAGTACTTTAAAAATACAGGTTGATAAAGGGCAAGACAGAAATAACTGGACATTCCCTTAGTTCATTCCAGATACCTCATTGCTTTAGATCCAGATTTTTAAGTATTGTACATTTGTATGTTAAAAAAGATGATGCTTCAAACTTTGGAGGAATTGAGAAGCTATACATCGCGGGCTCTCTCTAGGTTTAACTAGATTAAGCTCTAAATTGCACAACAAATGTTTACTGTTTTTTAAAACCACAAAATTATCTTACTGCTTGGTGTAGTACATCATGTTAGACTTCATGTAACATGAGGGAATTCAGCCTGTAGAGGCAAACATTTCTGTTCATTTTCATCTGTAGCCATAAACTGACAGGAATGTGTCCTCTGAGAAGACAGAAACTTAATTTGGGGAAATAAGGCAGACTCTGAAGTAAATGCAAGAGCAGAGGGGGGAGGAATCACTTACAAAGGGGTGTAATTCATGTGCACTTCGAAAAACAACCTCTGCCCATACACACATAAAACACCACTTACCACATGCACAAACTCCTTTTTGCTTTCCTTTCCCAACTGGTTAAATTTATATGGACTGATGTCAATTAAAGAAGTGACATGGCCATGGTAAGCACTGCAACAAGAGTTAAATGCAAAATCATTTTCACTAAGGTTACAGAAAAACTAAATTTACAGCTACATATGCACAAACAGAACCAGAATAAGATTTATCACCTATCTAGGTGTGGTGCTCATGGGGCCTCTTCAATCTGTATTTGCTCAATCCAAAACCTTCTGAAGAAAATGGGAATTTTGTTATTGGCTTCAGTGACAGCAAAACTGGAATCAGACGATTTTTGGCTGCCATGAGCCAATGCCAGTATAGCCACAGTAACTCCAAAGATAGCTCATAAGATTTTGTGAGGCTGTAAACCAGCTGGAGAGTAAGTCATCCTTGGTCATATCTGTCTACACCATGTACAGTTTGTTGCCTGCATCCAGGACTGTTGTAAAGGTGGAGTAGCTGGATACAAGAGTAAGGGGTGCTCCTTATGCAAGCATGAGGGGTACTCCTAAAGGGCTCTTACATTGTGCCAGTCCAGGGCTGTGCAACTTTTGAGTGGCCAGGGCACTGGTTATACACTGTGAGCCACACCCTCCCCTCCCCAGTGCACCATGCTGGCATCTATGCAACATGCCATATGGTACTGCCTGGTGCAACACATACCCTAACCCCCCCCGTGAAATACTCTGCCGTATGGCAGGTGAGCCCCACTGTGCTGCATGAGATTCCTGGGGGTTCAGACTGTCATGGGATCAGGCCCTTTTAAAGAGGTCAGCACTTGTGTTTGGTCACAGCTATAGAGTACTTTCTGGGGCCAGAGCAGGTGAAAATTGTCACTTCTGTCTTTACCCTTCAGCTTGCAGTGTACTTGTCAGGCTGCCTCTCAGCAACTAATTAGCACTACTTGAAATGAAATCTTCTATACTGTAACTATAAAGATATGCCTGATCAAGATTTTTTCAGGGAAAGCTTTTTTTTCCATCAGAAAACATTGATCTGTCAAAGCCAAAACCTTGTGCTGAATGTATGTACTACTATTGGCAAGGACGGAATTTCTGGTCAAAACCGAGAGAATAAGGGAGCCTAGGGGGATGGGCAGAGACTCTGATGCACCCCAAAATAGCCAAGAGATACTAAGTAGTGCATATGCCTGGGATGTGGGAGACCAAGTTTGCTCTCCCTGATTCAAACCAAAGCCTTGAACATCAGTCTCCCACATTCCTGGTGACTGTCCTCTCAAGTTCCCCTGATTGAGCTGTTCCACTTCGCTACAATGAACATTTATTTATTTATACAGACTTGAACCTTGATATCTCACATCACAGGTGAGTGCCCCAGTATCTATCAAGCCCAAGGAACAATTATTTATGTATGGAAAAACATTCCAACTGGCGAGACAGAGTCCATCCCAGAGTAACTCTGTTGGTACGCCACTCACCTGAGGTGTGACTGCTGTTCAAGTCCTTAGCCTGAAATAGGCAGAACTTGACCCAAGGTTTCCTAAGTCAGCGTCCTAACCACCAAACCTTCAAGAATCTGAGGTGGACTAGGAGGAGGGGTTTTGGTTTTTCCATTTTTGGTTTTTTTTGTTTTTCTTAATGCTGAACAAGAAAATTATTTCCTTTCTTTCCCATCTAGTGCAGTCGTTCTCAACTTTTTTTGGCCTCAAAATGCCCCTTGTTAAATTTAAGGCAATCCCCGGAAAATGCCAGATCTTGGCTTTCTCTCTTTTTCTGACCACAGAAAAATGCCACAGTAATTTTTCTGTTGCAAAAAAATATAGTGTGCAGCAGATCAGAACCTTTTTGACACAATGCCTTTCTGTTTGAAATCTCTGGGTTTATCCTGTAAATCGTGCATAGGTGTTGCATACCTACCAGCACTAATACTGCATGCCACCCCAGGGTACCCTTAAGAAGGATCTCATAGCACTCCAGTGTGCTGTGGCACTCTGGTTG